ATTAAAGCAAGGAACATACACAAATAAATATGTCAACTAGTCCTCAACTATCTATTAATACTAAAAGCAGAATCTTGCTTTTTGAAATCTATGGCATTGGAAAAAAGTCTGCTATTAACAGATTTGAAAAAGAACACTTTAAAATGTAACAAGTAGCAGCATATGCAATCATACAGAGAACTTGATATCCTCTGGAATATAGATTAGAAGTCTTTAAAAAAAACCCCAGAAACTTGAACAGATATAAGGGCTTTTCACAACCTCTGGTAAACCCTAGGAAGACACTTTAACAAGCTGTAACTAAAGTGTTTCATCAGAATGATAATAAAAAAACCATGATGGATCCCAGTACTAAGACTCTTATTATGAGTTCTGGTTGTCCAGCAAGTCACAGGATTTCCCACACAGTCACAATGCATCTACAATACTTCCAGAAGTTCATTTTGTTTTCTTCCCAAAAAATTCTTCAAAAAGTCTTTCTAGAGTGCTAGTGTTCAACTGTGTCATTCAAGGACAGTGTCATCACAACTTACATGGTCAGTGCTTACTGTTCAACCATGTTACTTGAGATGTTACCATTCACATCAATTTCCAAAAGAGATCATTGTATCTTGAACCAATTTTTCAAAAGCTTTTATTTCATCTGTCTTCAGAGATGAAAGAGCACATATTAACCTATTTTAAAAATAACTCATTTAATATAACACTTACCTGTGCGGTTTCTGTCATTTTCTGTTCAAAATCATTTTTAAATGTAGCATATTTCTCCACATACAGTTTATAGGTATCTGTAGCTTTTTTTGATTTAACTGCTGCCTGTAGGTCAGTACAAAAAAGTGTCAAATGTCACACATACAATCTGATCCAAGGTTTTTAATGTCACTATTAAAAGAAAGCCTAGGATAATCTAAAATATATTCAGGGACAGATCAAAACAATGAAGCAACATAACAAAATTTCATCACCAAGTAACTCTGATTCAAGCCACCAGATATTTCTTTTTAAATGTATACATAAACCACACAAAAAAGGCAACAAAGCAACTACCTCATTTATATCCTTTCCCCTTGCCAGCAATTACTAATTTCTAATATACTTATTTTGAAATCAAATTTGTATTGCTGAAATTAATTGATTAGCTCTTGTCAAATATTTAGATTTGCAACAGAAAAAAAGAAAGCAGGGGTGGAATACAAAGCAAATGATTATTTGTGCAACTGTGAAAGAGTCAATGGTAAAAAAATAAACCAAGAAGGTAGAGTTCTTTGTTAGAAATGAAGGAAGACATTCTAAAGTACAGGCATTATATCAATGTAAACTTGAAGATTAAGCAATATTTGAAAGTGAAGTTAATGCAGAACGTACTGATAGCCCAATTTATGCAGCTCAGTACTGTTTATAATAGTCCTTCTGGACTTTATAATTTTTTTTTAATTATTTGTTGCTAATAAACCAAAATAATCTTTCTAGGAGTATAACATTCTTAAAAGACAAAACAAAATACAGGAGAATCCCAATATTACATGGAGAACAAACCTGAATGAAGTTATTGTCTGCGGAAGAGAAAAAGCTATTTTCAAAGTTTACAGTATGCCACATGAGATGGAGTTTTTCAAACCTTTGAAATTCTTGCTATTTCCAAGTTAAAAACCAATGAAATAAAAATTGTCTTCAATACCAGCTTTTTTCATAGCTTCTTTGTTCAACATGCCTACTTTACGTCATTGAAAAAAGAAGCTATTTCTCACTTGCAACGACTTATAAAGCTGTTCACTATCTATAACTTTCAAATTAATTAATACAAATGTGTCCTATGGAAAGAAGGAGTTATATCCTGCAATTTCCAAGAGAAAAATAATTGAAAACCATGAGCAACATTAATCATGAGTATAGCATAAGCACTTCTTCACCTGGGGAACCATCAACCAGGACTCAAAGGAAGAGGAACTAAAGCTACAGTTCCATTTTTCCAGTTACAAAGAAAGCTTAAGCAGACCTTAGTCATGTAGTCTTCTAAACCCAGTGTAACAGAGCCTGAAAACACTTTACTGTATGGAGAATATGGATCCTTCAGGCATTAAAAGCAGAGCAGGACAGGTTGTATTACACCTATCAGTTACTTGTCCTGAATTTTACTTCATGATTCTCACTCTTGCACATTCACACAGTGGAATTACCAAGTACGAAAGAGTCCTATCTTGTTTCCTAAATGCCATTTACTATGCTTAAAGTACAAGGTATTCTATGAACATTTGATTTTTAAAATCATTATTTAGAATTATTATTATCATACACTGTATCAAATTATAAATTTAGAAATTATATATTACATTATTACTTTACAATAAGATTATTCCAAACTTAACTATTGAAAAGGAAGGAAATGCCAAGTTAAAAGACTTCAAAAATAAGATTTTTCGTAAAGCATTTTGTAATGGAACCCCATATGCATGGGATTTTGACAAAACCAAAACACTCTCTGTCTCTCATAATCATGTTTAACAATGAGCGGAATTTTAGTGTTATATACTGAAGAGCATCTACAAAAACCAACTACTCAGCAGGACAGGTAAAATGACAAAACATGTGAACATTGTATAATTAACTAGTAATCTCTTCTAAACCCAGGATGTGTCTATTTTCAGGTGCAGCAATTGCTAGAACTCTTATTTAGCAGATTTGCAGTAAGTGAAAAAATTAAGGATCAGCCAAGAATTTTTTGTCAAGTCACTATAAATAGAGAAGTTCACATGTCAGAGAACAACAGGAAATTATTACAAAAGTTAAGACTAACTTTCAGATGCAATGAAAATTGCAAGGTCTCAGATATCTCCTCAGATTCTTCAATAAAGTATTTCTCCAAATATCTGGCTTTGTGATAAACTCTTAGCATATTGGTGCTGATCCCCTATTTTCTGATAAAGTAGTTATTCTATGATTTTGATAGAAAGCATTTTTGATATTGTGCTTAAAAGTAGTAAACTTATTCTCTGCCAAAGGCAAAATATATAAATATAATCTTTGTCACCATGTTTCTGATACTACAAACATTAACTTGGACACAGACATGATCGAAGAGATGTGTTACGGTTACCTGCTCCCACTGAAAGCATTTTTTAGGTACTTGCTGAGCATTCAACTATGGCCTAATTGTTCAAACAGAAGTATATAAGGAAGATGCATAAAACAGTAAAAATGGCCTTAATCCTATAGTGAGTGCTCCTCCTTATCCCTGCTGATGTAGACATATTCATACTGAACATTTTTTTGTTTCCAACTGAACAAGGACAATGCTACATCTTAAAAACAAGTCTTCCATCAAGTCAACTTTTCCTACTGAAAAGTTCCTATTTACAAGAATTCAGAAAAATTATACCTTGAATAGACCTGCAGGAAAACACCTGCCAACCCACACATTTCTGATTCTTGTCTAAAATCCAACACTCAGTGCATTTGAGACAGAAGCTAGGAAAAAAAGCACTAGATTTATATCAAAGATAAAACATGGTCAACAGGATCACTCTTGTCATCAGTGAAAAGACAATAACCAACTATCTGTTCCATCAAGATATCAGTACAAAAGGTACTTTGACCACTCTAACAAGAAGAGAATCCAACATAGATCAGGTAACTGAAATAGAAATAGGCAGAGGTATCAAGACTTAAAAAGAGAAGACACAGTTAGCAACAGGGAAACATGATCTTTTTCTTCTACTAAGTTTCCTGAAAACAGGAAAAAACTAGTGATGTCAGCAGGTAAGGGAAGTGATTCTTCCCCTTTACTCAGCATTGGTGAGACCACACCTGGAGTACTGTGCCCTCTTCTGGGTTGTACATTGCCAGAAAGACAAGGAAATGCTGGAGAGAGTCCAGTAAAGGGCAAGAAAGATGAAGAAGGGTCTCCCATGAGAAAAGGCTGAGTCTCTATCCTTGGAGATACTAAAAAGCCATCTGGACACGGACTTGGGCAACTGGCTATAGATGGCACTGCTTGAGCAGCAAGGTTGGACAAGATGACCTCCAGAGGTCCCTTCCAACCTCAGTTATTTTGTGATTCTGTGAATGGATCAAACTTCCCCAAGACCCAAGGACAGTACTAAATACAACATCAAGATACTCACCTGGGTTTTTGGTCCATGAAACGGGAGGTTTTTAAATTAGTACTGGAAGTAATGTTAACTTGTTTTATTTCTCAATGGAACAAACTTCCAATACTGGTGTAATTAGTTACCTTGTCTCATTGAAGGGACAACACAAAACCTCCTGTTCCTTAATTCAGTAACAAGGCTATTGAGTGTTTGCATATGTACAAAGAAAATTTATCCAAAAACATAACAGATGTTGAAACAATTACACACAATTTCTGCAAAAGCCACTAAACAAAATCATCATATGATGCAGGTGTTTACAAACTAAAGAATTAGAACTGCAATGCAGTTATAACAGGTAAGGAAGTATGCGTAAACAAAACATAACTAGGTATTCAAAATATTATGCACATTATGAAATAGCCACAACTACTATTTTTAACTAGTTTTAGCGCTTTCTGAGCATTTGACTTACTAATACAAGGTAAATGTGTTACTGATTGACAACACAATAAATTAAAGAAAGATGTTACAGAACTACCTTATCAATTTCTCTCTGTGTTGCTCCTTCCTTTTTCAAACGTTCTTGTTCAACACACTTTGCATTGTAGTTTTCCTTTGATTTCTGTAAGGCTTGAGTGATACTTTGAATATTTTGTACTGCTTCTAATGTTCCTGAAACATCTTCTTTAGTCTGCCAAATATGACATTGTTGTCAAAACCGAATCACTTTAATTTTAATGTTAACAAGTCATTTGAGACACATAAGAAAAGATAATAACCTTTTTATAAGCCTTGATTTGTTCTTCTCCATATTTTTGAACTTCTTTTATTAGCTCTTGTAATCGTCGCACAAGATCCAAGTGACAGCTTGCTAGTTTTTCTGTTGAGGTTTTGAAAATATCCCAAACTGGTGCAAATGTCCTAGATTGAGGAAAATAATATGTAATGTTCATCTGGGTTTTTTCTTTTTAGTTGTCTATGATTTTGTATTTAATAGTGCAAAAGTACAATTTATAAAGTTTAAGGAAGTTCAGTTATGTTCCTAAAACTGAAATAAGCGAAAACCCCAACAACTGCCATAAATTCTTATTAAATATGTTTCAGATGTACTTGGAATCCTATCTACTAATTTTATGTTTTACCTATACTGACTCTAATGAGTAAAACACAGCAAAGTTCACTTAATCTCCTTTATCATCAGTGCACAATGACAAGTGATACTCCTAAAGATGATGCAAAAGCAGCTCAAAATTATTTAACATGTAGAAGTATTTTTATGCATATACTTGAATAGTGCAGACAAATCAGAAACTACTTGGTTAGTTAAGTTACCTGCCACAAGACGCAGGAAAAAAATCACTGACAAAGATGGTCTGCCACTAAAAGGGATTTACTGATTAACAGAGACTGTTAATCCAGCAAAGGAATGTGGGGACAGGTCATTCCTAAGATTCAGATTGCTACACTGAATGGACTTCTCCAGCTATCTAAAGACACAATCCCATCTCAGTTTGCTGGTTAATGCTGCTGAAAAATCAATACTATACATATACTAACATACAGATTCAGAACTTTTGAAGAGCAGCAACAACCAATATCAAATCATCCACTGACAAAAGCTCCCCAGATTTCTAGCTGTGATTACTACACATTAAAAAATCTAGACTCATCTAAGAGGTCTGAGTTGTTGACATAATTACTCAAGTGAAAAAATATCCATTACTCATTCCAGTTTCTAAAAAAACACCTCATATATAAACCTTTAATTAAATTATGGGGAAAAAAGCTATTGAAAAGTCTCATTCTTAACACCTTTGAGGACAGAGATAACACTCCAGAAAGCAGAAATAAGAGAAATAGATATATTTACTGCCACATTTTCAGACCATAAGTTTTCCCTTCAAAATAATTACCAAAATAAGTCCTTGGGAACACAGAATAGAGTCACATTCTTTATCATGTCTTAAATACAGAGGACAGACAGTTCTCTGTGTTCTCATTTTGTTTTGTTTTGTTTTTTAAACTGTAAATAATGAACTGTATTGTCTTCTGGTTTTGCCATAGCTGCATGATAATTTGCATGGTTGCTGAAGAACTAGTAATCATTTTTAAAGGTGGCAAAGTTATGATGCCTTGAATATCATCAAAAAAATATTCACGATCAAACTTGATTCTTAACATATATGCATTTAATTATTTTTCTCTTATGTACAGTTACTTACCCAAATTGTGTGTAATTGCTCGCTGATTTGGCTAGTTTTGTCATTGATCTTGAATATGCCTCCTCTATTGTAGCCCTATCAAAGAAAGCCATGAAAAGTATAAGTGACATTTTGAAGATATTTGAAGACAGATGAATATGAATTCTGAAAGCGCAAAACAGAGGACTTTTTATGTTAGCTGAAAACAACTCCATTTTAATGACCCTCTCAAAGCCTATTAAAAAATCTCAGAAGTATATTTAAAAAATAATCTAAGAACCTTTTGACAGAACATTACAAGGAACATAAAAAAGTAAAGCCTAGGGACTCAAGACTTGAAGAAGATAATTCCTTCCTTCATATACAATCTTCTATTTCCCTCTGCCTTTAACATTCTTCAGTAATAGGCAGAACAAAGTGACATAACAATCACCTGCTTAGCACTGTCTAAACACCAGAGATTTACAGAACAACAAAATCAAATATATTTGTGAAGAAAACACCAAAATAAACTGAATGCTTAGTGAGCAATCACATTAAATAAAGTGGGGTCTTGTCTTTCTGTAGGAGGTTTCTGGGGTTTTGTTTAGTTGGGTTTTTTTAAAGATCCTTGCATAGTGATATTTGAGTTTGGGAAGCAGTAAAATAACATCCAGAAGTATTGTGCTCTACTGTTTACACTCATTTTTGAAGAAGGTTGCCTCAATACATTCTGATTTATTTTGGATAACCTCTTCCCTACATAAAGTTTCATTATCATTTCCTGCACTCAAACCCACAATTACAATTGTTTTTCAGAGACTCAAAATCCAAGGGTCAGCATAGATTTCCTCCTTCAAGCCTGCTATTCCCAGGGAATAGCAGTCACACACAGTGTATCACAACAGTGATCCTCTGCAAGTCCTTCCTCGTCTATCTTCCTCATCCTCCTATTACTAAGGTGAAAACACACTATTTTAGTTTTCCACCCTAAATCAACATTCAATGTGTAGTGTCAACTTAGATTTAGAAGTATTCTGGATTTGAGTAAATACTGCAATTGCCTTTTCTTGAAAAGACAAAAGTTTGAAGCAATTTATTTCCTGCTGTGTAATAACTTTATTCAAGGGCAAAAGAGAGAAAAAAGGGAGATAAATTCTCAAATTATACTATGACTATAATTGCTTATTGCTGACACAGAGGTTTTTATTTCTCCTTCACAGGAACACATTCCAAGTAAAAAGAATTCAATAATTAAAATAAGAAACAAAGTAGCAGTAGTCACCTAAAACAGAGGGGCATGTATTTAAACGTACTGAACTTGCAAAATAACTATCCAGTCAGTTGGACAATCAATTTGGAGAAGTTCTAAACTGGAAAATGCTGTAACTCAATTACATTTTAAATCTCACCTACTAACAACTGCAAATTTATTCATTATAAAAGAAGTCAAATAACTACTTCCACATAAGTATTTTTGATGAGACAAAATTGTTTCCGAGGTTTGGAATTCTTGCTCACTACACAGGAACAAGCATGTATGCAGAGACACCCAGAGAGACGCTGATGTTTTATCAGCTACCATGATGAAGAATCTATTTTGATTAATTATCATTAGATTCTATTAAAGTTTTCTAGATTTGATAGCTCAGTGCCTTTTTTTTCTTCTTGCTGTTTTTTTGTGTGTTTCCTTGTTTTGTTTTGTTTTTTGTTAAACACAAGATTTCTGACCAAAATCCACACCTCTTTTCTTTGGAGCAATTTACAGCACACTTCACAGAATCTTAGGAGTTGGAAGTGACATTGAAAGATCACCCAGTCCAACCCCCCTGCC